TTAATCTACATCAGTTTCATAACGCTTTAGCATATCTCTTAGAACTTGTAAACTAGTGCTTCGAGACATAATATTTTTACGTCACGTGGTCCCAAACGTCAAATCATTTTTCTATTTCATTTTCAGTTGTAAAAGAGAAAGAAAATTGCTCAAATCTGTGCAGGCTGATACCGCTACAGGAACGCAACGGAAATTTCAAAACGCCGGATTGATTCCGACGTAGTGACTTAAGAAGAGGAAGGAAGTTGCTGTTGTCTCGGTGTTCAATTAAGCACCGGGCCGCGAAGACGTACTGGGGAGTGGAACNNNGCCCCCCCCCCCCGGGAAATATACCGAGATACCCGTTGGATAAGAGGCTGGGTGGGCCCCGGGATCGAGCTGGGCGCTGTGGAGGGGAGAAAAATCGCTGCCCTCGCTGGAGACCGAACCAAGGTTCCTACTATTCTGAGCCAGATTTATCCAATCCATACTATCCCATCCGATCTCTCTAAGATCCGTTTTAATATTGTCCACTCACTTACATCTTAGTCTTCCCAGTGGTCTCCTTCCTTCTGGCTTTCCCACCAATATCCTTTATGCATTTCTCCTCTCGCCACTCGTGTTACATGCCCCGCCCATCTCATCCTCCTTGACTTGATCATTCTAACTATACTTGGAGAAGAGTACAAGTTATGAAGCTCCTCATTATGCAGTTTTCTCCAAGCCTCTCCAAATATTTTTCCTAAAAATCATTCTAAGGGAACAGGATGGGCCTGTATATTACGTAAGAACAAGCCTATCGTGTATACCTATTGTCCCATAACCATTAAGTATTTTAAAATTTAGCATGGACCTAATGTAAGTTATATCTTAATAAATAGGAGGGTTAAGCTCACCCCTTACATAGATGATGAATGAATGTACTCTTGGTAGAGGGAAAGTAAATGGCCACAGCTTGCATGCGCCGCAGAATATTCTCAACCCGTACAGGCAGGCTGCCTTATGTAAGACTAATTTTGAGAGAAGAAAGAAGTGCTGTGGAGGGAACAAAACACTTCTCTCGAATGAGTTCTCTCAGAGCGTTGTATTCGAAACGTGGATTCGTTCAGCTTTTATATGAAAATCGCCAATCTTCTTTACGAATTCTGCAAGAGCTTTTTGTAGGCAGTACTGTGGAGGAAGGAAGCTTTAGTAATAGCTTTAGTGTTGAGTTTTGTTTATGAAAACTGTACACTGTCGTCTTTATACCTGTCAGATAAAGTGAAGTAATTTTTATTCGTAATATACACGTACAGCTGAAGTATTATGAAGAAACCAAATTGACTAGTGTAAGATAACTGTAAAGGTTTGTTGCAGAGATGTGTTCAACTGATAAATATCCTGGGCACTTCATACTTCTTGTTTTTAGGCAGAAACAAATTTCAGTATCTGGTTCTGCTTCCAACGTCAGGTAAAATTGTGAAAGTCTTCGTTTTCTTGTTAGATGGAACTCATCTCTGCTCTGGAGGTTAACTCCATGTGGTGGGCAAAAGGAGTAGCTTTCATGCCTTTATCTTATGGCAAAAGCAAAGGCAGCCTCCGAACCCTAATTTTTGAGCAAAAATGAGACGAAAAGTTTCCAACATGTGTATCAACTTAGCGACAATATTCACTTTACACTGGTTAATAACCATTAAATTAGTGTTCATATGTGAAGAACATGCACACTAACCGCGTCGAGCACTGGCCAGTCTTATTGATTCTGACTCACTAAGATGCTGCAGAGACAGACAGGCATTTGTCATGTACAGAATTCTGACAATATTTTCACACTACAGCGTACAAGTGTCTATACGAATAGAGCGAAGCTGAGGGTCTGCCTTTGTAGAATCTTTGAGAGTCAGTTTCGAACCTGCTTGGACTCGTTGGGGTTAATTTACGCACTGCCTTGCTGTCCCTAAGAATATTTCTATTGCAAATGTCTTTCTCCTCCAAAGCCAGTATACGACAAGTTCAATATGAAACTTCTCTCAAAATCAGCTGTTCTCATTTTAAATATACTGTATTTTTGTTTGCAAAATAAGTTGCATCTTCTGTTTTTGAAAATCTAAATATAGTTCATTCGTTTAAACTCTTCAGAAGAAGCGAGGAGCATTTCTACCATTGGTTGTTTCCATCACAGAATGAAGGCAGATCAAGAGAGCTAAAGTTTCTGAGCGAAATACTTTTTACTTAGGCACAAACTGAAACTTTCCGCACTGCAGTTTTTTTCACACAAATAAGTTTTCAGAAGTGATCATTATTCCTGACTGAAAAACTCTTTGGCAATAGTCAACACTCTGAAAGGAAGTTAGCCCTCTGCCAGCTTAAAACCTTGCAAGCCTCTAACCAAACATCTTATTCCAACAATCACTGATATTACCTTTTAGATATCTGCTTTGTTTTAATTCGGGTTCTGTTTCCTGTAGAAACCGGGATAATGCAGTCAGTATAGCGACTGGCTACTGACTGCACGACCGAGGGATCGGAGTTCGAGTCACGGTAAGTTCAAGAATTTTCTCCACGTCATCCAGACCGGCTTTGGGGTCCACACAGCTAATTATCCAATGGGTAACGGGAACTTTTTCCAGGGGGGTAAAGCAGTTGGGGCGTGAAGCTCACCACTCATCTTCAACTAGTGCCGAGGTCAAGAAAATGTAGATCTATACATCCACCCCCACCCCACACCTTCATGGCGTAGTGTTTAATTAGTTAAGCACAGGGACAAATTTACCTTTCTTTAACTTTTTCAATTTCCTGAAACACTCATTTCCCGTTTGTGTTGTTTATTCTATAATTAAAGCATTATTTCGAACTACGATGGCATTCACCATGGACGAAATAATACACACATTTTCATTCTAATCCACACCGTCACTGGAAGCCGTCACCCAGCTTCATATCCAGCTAGTACTGGGGGCTCTTTCCCCAGGGCTAAAGTGGCCAGTGAGTGAAGCTGATCATTCGTCTGCATATAGTGTAGACTTTAAGAATGCGTGGAGCCATGCCTTCTCTCCTCTAAACGTCTTCTTTGGGTGGTCTCGGGAAAGAGGAACAGTTAGGTTATACGTTTCAGATATTTGCGAATTATGTATTGTGCATTTCAAGTATATATCAAACGCTGCCGAGGGGCTGAATAGCGTCATCAGCAAGAGGATATCTAATGAGATTAGAGCACAGGAATAAGTAATGTGGTTGCCTATATTGATAATAGTAATAGATCGGTTGTAAAATGCGTTTAGTATAAAATCCATAGCTGAACAGATTGGCCTAGATTAGTGCTCCCATAATATCTTTTAACGTGACAGCTCCATTTTCCCCTTACAACCGGTACATTTCGTAAAGAACCGGACACGATAAAAATTAATAAAAATAAAGTCAATAAAGATGCATTTTCTCTGAACATGTAAATTTATCGTCAGAGAGTTCCCTCACGATAGTGGTTGTGCAGTCCATGGATTTGAAGCTGTGGTTATGCACCGCAGTGCGTTATGCGAAGGTTGCTTCCTGTGATGCTAGCGATATCTGCTTTCCCATCTCACTAATGGTCTTCGTACTTAAGTAGTTACTTGTGCTCTTATTGGAAGCTTTGTTTTGAACAGCCAGTTAACGTTCTTTTTCTTCACGTGAGTGACGACGTCTGACCGACCACCATGTGCAATGCAAAATTTCACGGCACATAAGGTGCATTCAGCATTCTTATTGACACTTTAACAAACGGATATTCGCTCTTGCTACTGTCAGCAACACTGCACTTGCGTTTTGCCGTCACTATATGGACGTAAACCGATAGAAGCTCACGGGCTCTCACAGCACAACGTAACGGCAGAGAATGACACAAACGGAACTTCCGTTATGAAAGAAAATCAAAATACTACAGACATAAATGGAAAAAAATACTTACTGCAAAAAGAAAAACTAATAATTTGTGAAATTGTGCTCTGTGGACTAGCCACCAGAAGTCTTACCATCATTACAGAAATGCCAACTGCAGAGAGTAGCATCCGTTACCAGAGGTTATCGACAGAAATTACTGTCACAGAAGAGCATTTAAAAAGCGGGACATCTAAAATAAATCCGGGACAGTGGGACATTATACGAAGAAACGGGACTGTCCCGGCAGTAACGGGACGAATGGGAACGCTAGTCTAGAGACAAGGCCAGAGATGCTCGGTTCAAATGTCGGTCGTCACACGTGATCAAAGTTCTTTGTGGTCACTCCTCAGTCTCTCCAAGCAAATTCCGGGACAGTACCTCCCTTAGACCATGGCCTCTTCCTTCCAGATCCTTTGAAATTCGTCATTCACCTGCCGTCACATAATCCGATGCCATGTAGCCACGATACTGAATAATTTTTCTTAGATAAGTAAGTAAGTAAGTAAGTAAGTAAGTAACTAAGTCTATGGAGCTGAGTCCTTCTTGAGAAGCTGTCGGTTGCTTAGCTACTTAAGAATTTCTGAACATTTCATGGAACCCGAAGATTCATTTCCATATTCGCGAGAGTCCTCCATCGGTCCCTACCCTAAGCCAGATCAATCCTGTCCATAATAGCCCAACCTATTTTTTAAGATCCATTTTACTATTATCCTCTCATCTACATGTAAATCTTCCTGTAGTCTCTTTCCTTCTGTCTTTCCCACCAAACCCTATACGCATTCTTTTTCTCCCAGTGCGTGCTAAGTGCTCCACCCATCTCATCCTCCTTGACTTGATCACTCTAATTATACTTGGCCCAGAGTACAAGTTATGAAGCTCCTCATTATGCAGTGTTCTCCAACCTCCCGTCACTTCATCCTCCCTTCGCTCCAATAATCCCCTCAGCACCCTGTTCTCAAACACCCTCAGTCTCTGTTCATTCCTTAACGCCAGAGACCAAGTTTCACTCCCAAGTGGCGTTAGATAATCCGCGAAAAATAAAAGGCATTCTCGTGGCAATTTAATTGGAAGCAACTCAAAACATCGCAGTTTTATAGCCTTATCTCTTTCTCTAGTTGTCCACTTACCCTGACTCTCGCCTCCGTGAGGTTTGTCCACATGGCGATCTCCTCGCGTGTGCTCATGTCTGGGTAACGGTTCCTCGCGAATGTAGCCTCCAGCTCCTGCAGCTGTTGTGACGTGAAGTGCGTCCTCTGCCGTCGTTGTCGCTTGTTCTTCTTGTCATTCTTACTGTCGTCACCTCCTCCGTTGTCAGCAGAATCACCACCGGCTTCTGTCTTCACGGTACCGCCCACGATGGGCTCCACTGCCAGCACGCGTCCTCCTGGAAAACAAATCGTCCCCTGTAGGACTTGCGGTTCTCAGCAAGAGTTCTTCTGTCTCCTGGGATACAAAGCTACATAGTCCATTGAAAGTAACGTTGAAACTTGACTACACGGCGTTGTAACCCAGAAGATATTCCTCCCGTTAATTTAAAACAGCACAGAACAGTTGTCTGTGTCTCTAACGATTTGCAGAGTTCAGACTATTAGACACTCGCCGTCTTGCGGCAGAGGCTGAGGTTCAATCCCAGGGGCATCCAAAACTACTGCGACACGCTGAGTGACACTGAGAACGAAGCTTCACCAACTACTTAGACATTTGTCTTCCCATAAGTGTTCCATCAGGCCCAAAAATCCAGAAGCACTCACCACCGAACTTATTCTAATGAACAACGGGCGCTAGTACAATGGTTCACAGTGGCTGGAGTCTCATTTTCATTCTCCCAAAATACAATAAATCGCGATGAAATTCTGTCGAAACCTGCAGGCTCTAATTCGCTGATTCAACAGATAATCATTCAGCTGGCAAAGACATTACATGTAAGCATCAAAATCGTAAAATGTAGAATTTCCTGTCTGTAAGGAAACCCAATTTCCAGTTATGTTCACAGGATTCCATAATTTTAACCTGTACTAAGTCATCTGAGCTAGTTTACATACAATCTTCGAGATCCACTTCTGTATTATCCTATGTGTTCATATTTCTGACTGTTATTGTTACTTAGGAAGGCTCTTGTGGGACAGACGCTGGCGATAACGTATTTAACTTGTTCATACACCTTCTGGGGCAGTATGTTATAAGTGCTTCTGTAGTCATTAGTGCAAAAAGTGAGATTTTCAACCAAAAACGGTATAACACGTATCTGTTTGCAGCCTCTTCCGCATTAATGAAAAGGGTTCCTGTGGTGAATCCGATATCATTAGACATGGACTCGTACGCCGAGTAGTGTCAATATAACTGTCACGCCTAATGAGGAAAATCCCGCTACTTAACCTCAGTTACCCGTCTCGTGCTAACATAACAATACCAATAACAATATCAAAGAAATTCAAGTAAAGAAGTAAAGAAAAAGTAAAGCTATTCCTTTAACAGGCCGTGGAAGCCGCAGGGTTTTGAGACGTCGAGGCCCACATTTTCTAAATAATCGGTTTGCAGATGGCGGTGAGGTCAGCCTTAAAATCTAATGACATAATCGGGAATCGAAACCGCGACTTCCCGGGTTGTAGCATAGTGTCTCAACCAACTAATCTACCGCGTGCCCCCCAAAGAAGTTCAGGTACAAACATTTATATTAGATTGTGAGCTATTTGATTCGCACGACTGTGAAAGCGAATGTTATGTCCTTATAGATGTGACACCGTGTAGTTCTGCAGACGGGTACTAATTTTCCCACAAAAATGGCGGCAATGGTGCCTATCTACCAAACTGCATGGCATCACCTAGTAGAATATAGTCCTCGTATCAGTTTTCATGATATTATACTGCAGAATCCTACTGCACTGTGCCGACAGCTTCCTCCGATCCAACATTTATACGCCTGATGAGGGCCAACGAAGCCGAAGTATGATTTTCTCTCTCTCTCTATGTCTCTACATCCCTTTGGACATGGGCCGTTTCTTCAGTTTCTTAATCTATTCACAGTCAGTAGGACTCCTTGGATGGGGGATCAGCCCGCCGCAAGGTCGCTACCTATGTCAGAATGTGGTTTGGATTCGTCTGGTTCATACAGCCCACAGTGACGGGATCATGTGAATACAACAATAAAGCTTCTGGTTCCAGCTAGGACACGACACGACACGACACGACACGACACGACACGACACGACACGACACGACACGACAGTGGAAGAGAGAATAGCATAGTGACGGGGAAATGTGAGACGACAGACTAGTCAGGTTGCATCGTGTGGAAGACGTTAGTTTTGAGTGACTAATTGTAACTGTAAACAACTTATCCAATAATTCGCTTCATCTAATCGGGAATCAAGTGCTTGTCGCGTTACCAGGATGCGTGACGAACCGTCTCATAACGACGTATCCGAACGAAACTTGCAGTAGTGACGAGGAACAGGAACAAAATTAATATTCAAACTCATTAATACTTATTTTATTTTATTATATAAATTAAATTATTGTATAGATGGGAATATTATGTCATGATTCCATAATACAACAGAATTCAAAGGAAAAAAGCTTCCGTGAAAGGTTAGGCTGTCAATAAAAGAGATTATATTTTGTTTGTATGTCCCATGGAATTCAAAATACAAATAAATTGACGGAAATATTTACTGTTTCTCATTCAGTTAGGTAAACATCTGCGTGCTAAACTAAAGCTTCCTTACACTGTGTAGCCCTGCTCCCCAGTTCGATCTACTTAGGGCAATGGGCCCAGACCGCGCAACAACACTATTGCAGAAGTTAACGAGGTGAACAGGGATAATCTTGAGGGTGGAGGATATAATTCTAACCAACCCCAATATCCCTGAGCAAGAGGCGATGGTTTTCCGGGTAAATGACATCGCCCTCAACAATATGGGATTGTAAGGCAAGGGTTGACAGCTGGGTTAACATCTGTCCAAGCCTAACGCACCAGTCCCTGTTTCTTGCTTCAGATTGAGCTGTGTGGACTGATTGCACAGATACGTGACTATAGGTCCCTTGGTAATCAACGGGGTGGATTGCTCTCGAAGAATGGGTACAGTGTCCAAAATTAATGTTTATAAGCGACATCTTGAAACATTACAATTCACTCGTAGTCCATCCTGTCACGTCTCACACATCACACAGACGGACATGTGATTCACAACACAGCACTTCACAAAATGTTCTACTTAACTAACAGCATAAACCAAGACCATCGTTACTGCCTCCTGTATATTCTAGAAGCGCTTGGAACGTAACCAATAACTCACGATATGCACAACTTAGTTTTGCTTCCTGCGGTTATGGGTCCCTTGTAACCATGGCATGGCACGTCCTCAGGTTGCGGATGGAGAAGACGCCCTTCAGGAATGAAGGGTAGCTGAGAATATATTGAATAAGCAGTCGCGGACAACCGACAAGGGGTGTTCCTCCATATTGGAGGTTGGACGTAGGGCTGACAACTCCTCACCGTAAAAAACAAGCTTGCTACGAAAGATCGCAAGAAGCCTCGGACGGTTACTATAAGTCCAATTAAAATATTATAGTGCCAACATATTGTAACATGTAGACCCGTTGCTAAGTAATGACTCTGTAAACAACGCCCGTTGCTAGGCAAACGGTTTCTAACATGCACCAATGGACTAACTAGGGCGCGATGTTTTCTACGAGGCCCGTGCGACAGCTGTGTGACGCAACAATAGAAGCACTGTTGGTACGGTGTTATCTGTGCGGCCCGTGCCGAGAAGTTACAAGCAGTCAGTTCAGTTCAGTTCAGTTCAGTGGAGCGGAGTGAGGTACGGGAATGGAGTCGAGTTGAGCTGTGAGTCGACAGTTGTGAGACAGTCGCCGGCCAGTAAGGACGTGAACACAGAAGTTGAGGGATCTAGGGCGTTGTAAGCCATTACCAGACAACGACTGGTGAAGACCCATAAGACTAAGAAGATATAATACGTGCTGTAGTGAATTGCTGAGTGTTTGAAGTAACGATAGCTCTATAGTTGCTTGTAGTTACAACCTGTAAGTGCTCAATAAATCCCAGTACCAGTCCAAACCCCTTCTGCATCACTCATACACGTGACAATATGTTCAAACAACATATGTAAAGTAGTTCGCTAATGAGGCCAGTAGTCGCTGAAAGATGTGAAGGCAAAAATTTACTTCTATTCATCTAGTTATAGTTGAAAGACTTTCACTACTTATTTTTGTTTAAAAACTGAAAGTGCTCTAGATTATTTCGTAATGCATTTAACCCTGACCTACTGCGTAATTTTGTATTTGCTTCATTTCTGATAGCATATGCGGATACACGTACATATTGGTGGAAAAATTTTAACATGTAGACTGAGGTATATTAATTTACACCTAAATATTCTTATAATTCTAGGAGATTAAAAAGAGAAAGCAAGCCTACATTCTTCTCTATATACAAAGAAAATCTTGCTCTATGGTATAGAAAATGAATTTTTCCAAAATGAACCCAAAAATCACAAGAAAATCTCAATAATACTAAAAGACGTACAGAGGTCTGAATGTGCTGGTTGAAAGCAGTGTTACTCCTGCCAGCAGGTGGCTCTGCTGGCAGTACGAGTAGTGTCATTTTCCTGAGGATTTCTTATTTAGAAGAGCCCCTAAAAATTTAATTTTGTTGTTTTTCTCAGCATTGGATATTACGAATGTACTAAGAGCACGCGAAGATATGTCCATAGTAGAAACACATTAACATTCTGCGTTCCGTCTTGAGTGGACGACAACTTGAATGATGTGTCCCAGTGCCTTAAAATAAGAAATATGAAAGATGAGGAGAATCAGACGTGTAGCACGCATGGGAGAAATATATAAACAATTTAGTTGCAATATCTGTATAGGCGTAATGAAACATTTAATTCAATTGTGCTGAGACCTCATTGAGAAGCTAACAGTTTCTTAGCTACTTAAAATATTCCCAGCATTTTATAGAACCCGAAGTTTCATTAGTGTATTCAGAACACCCCACCATTGATCTCTATCCTGACTAGAATTCAGCACAACCTAACCTTTCTGTTTCTTTAAAATCGTGTATAATATTAAAAAAAATAGCATAGAGGAATACGATATGAAGATATTTCTTTGTGGTTCATTTAACGGTGTTGCAAGTGTAGAGATTAAATTGTATGTAATCGCGAGATGTTAGATGAACGGAAAAAAACAGGAAGGAAACGCTCGAAACCTGACCGAGACATAATTCCGGCAGTTGTGTGGAGGAAATGGGGAGAAAACAATAAAAACCCTTTGTCCCTGCCGAGAATCGAATGAAGTGCCTCTGGAATACGTCTAAAAGTATACCGCTACACCAGCCAGCACTGGGCGAAGGTTCTGGTA